ACTGCTTTAAATGTATTTTATGAACATTACCTAGCAACTTCAATCTCAGGTGCAGAGCCACTTGCAGATTCAAAGGGAAATTTTTTAGCGTGCTATATATCTTTAATTTTTTGACAACGTTCAATAAGACTATTACCGAAGAAATCAATATAAATGAAGAATTCATCGGTGAAAGGTACTCAAAATCTACGTAATTGAGGGATTTCTTTTTGTATAACTTCCTATTTTTTTATTCGCCGACGAACACGGATTACAAACATTTGAGTTGTAGAATGCTTCGCAGAGGGTGACTGTTTTCAAAACTATTTCATGTCCTTCACGAAGATTCTTTTCAGTCCACCTGCCTTTTCTATCAACAAAAGGCACACAATTTTAGAATAGAATTACAATTAGAAAAACATCGAAATAACAGCTGAATGGTGATTAGACCCTCAAAGATAAACAGAAAAGAGAAAAAAAGGATCGTGGATGGATATACGTATAAGAGGATGATTCCTTATTACTGAGGACCACACTCTTCGAGACTATGCTACTTTCCTGAAGTTTATTCAGAATGTTTGGAGATCATCTTGGTTTTAATTAATGTAATTACCATTAGTCTGAACAGCACCAATTGAGTCGTTATTTTACTAGCAGAACTCCAAACTAATTAAAGTCCCTAAAATCATTACTGTTTACTGGTTAACGACCACTTCTTCGCTTGTGGTTAACCAGAAAATGCCAATTAAGATGGATCCCCACTTTAAGTTAAACAAAACCGTTGTGGTGAGGTATCGAAAAAGGCTCACGTAGGCCTGAAGAAACAACAGGTTCTTGCAATTTTGAGCATATATTTCTTTCGGCTCTGTTTTAGAAGTTTATCCATTCTTATTTTGGATCTGATTCTTTATCTACACATCCGTGGCCCTTTTTCCTTTCTGTAAATTGTTATTGTTGAGTTCTTTTTCTTTATTTTAAGACAAAATGAAATATCTGAAAAAATAATATAAAAAATAAAAATAAAAAATAATGGTTAATCCGGGTCCTGTTATCCTGTTATTTAGCTTCTACACCCGAAAAAATAAAAAATTTTCGTAAGAATCAGCTCACATAAAATTCGCGCGTGGACCTTTCGTGAATTTTCTCGTTTGAACAGCGGGTGATTCTCAGCAAAGTTTTCTGGGTAAGCAACGCCACTTTCCTACTAACAACACCGAACTCATACGTTCGTGCTTGTTCCTGTAGTGAAGAAACACTCACAGAAACCAATCATAGAACAAAAAACAATTCCTGAAAGACGTAAATTGCTAGTAGCTGCATATGTCGTCACATCATTTATCTATTCCATAACCCCCGGGCTATCTAAAAAATTAATACATAAAAGCTGTTGTTTGCATAAGAAATGCAGAAAAAAAAAGTTCCTGTGCGTGTTGGAATCCTAGAAAGACAAAACGGAACGGTGTCAAAAGAAATGATTAAACTGGCTTATTGGTTTTGTTTCGTTCTCTCTGCTCATCTAGATGCAAAGTTTAGTGGAGCTAGACAAAAACAGACAAGACATGAAGAAGAAAATCAAATATTCTTCGGCAACTTTATTCTAGATAAGTTTCATCGCCTTCAGGTAACGGTTGGTTCATCAAGTGTCGTGAGCAACTACAGGGAGTGTGCTTTCAGTTGTTTAGAAAATCCACCATGTTCCTCGTTAAACGTCGCCTCTTCTCCACATTCAGACGGAAAATTTCAATGTGAGTTGTTAAACGAGGATAAATACTCTGCAAGGCCAGGTCAGCTGGTCAGTTCGCAGGAATATCATCATTACAGCATCAAGGTAAAATATGCTTTATACTCTGCAAATATTAGGACAGAAAAAAGTGTTTTCGCACCTTAAATAATGATATTAAGAGAATTCCAAAAACAGCCTCTTTTCTTTCGTTGTGGTCACATAAATTTGAAACGGTAAATATAATAAACAATTTTTTGGAGATTACTTGTAACATTACAAAATATTAAAACCTTATCATTTTCAAAGTTTGCTTGTCTACGAGCTGAACAAGGCCTATAGAATTTAATTTTTAAAAAAAATTCAAAAATATGTTTTACAGGAGATACTGACGATAGCATTGACGTTTCAGTAACAATTTGTCGCCCCATGATTTAATGGAATTGTTTTCTATGTTTCATTGAGGCTACTAGGGTTTTTAAATGCGAAAAAATACAGAGAAAACATCACACACAAAAAGTTTTGCAACAATTTCAGCTTGTGCTGACAAAAGTTTTCAAAAGCGAACTGTTTTCGTGTTTACCGAAAGTTGATCGCGTGATGAGAGGAGAAAAAAATCAATTTTCAAATGTTTGTTTCCATAAGTAAGAATAATGTTTGCTGGTTAACGAAACGTGTATACGAAATCCTGGATATTCTTTTCTTTTGTGGTTGAGCTTTTCGTGAAAGTGAGTCTACAATATAAACGACCGCACAAGGAACTTGAAGTCTTTAAGTTTCACTGATGTTTCTTTGGGAAAAACTTATTCATCATTGAATTATTTTAAACTCACATTTGAATCCTGACATGACACCCCCTTTGGCTTTTCGCTCCTGGTAGTTTCTTGGTACTGTATCTAAATTAACATTTTATATATACCAAAACACTCTCAGACTGGAAACACGTCGTTTTCTTCGATTCCGCTACGAAATGAAAGTCTTCAATGGCAACGCATAAAAGAAACGCAGAAATCACACATGAATAAAATAAATTATATTTTGACTAGTGGATCGATAGCAACAAATTACGAAATGACCTTTAGTACTGAAGATACTGCAAGAATAGAAGCTTAAGAATTTTATGCTTTAATAAGATGCGAACCTTTGCTTCTCACTGAGCCGCATGGTATGTGGTGAGAAAAACACAGTAACACAGCTGTTTCCTCTTTTACAATTCTCAAGTTTTCTGAAAGAAATCGTCAACCTCAGATTCTAAGGCGGTGAAAAAAGAACGCTCACCTGAAATTTATCCAAGCAGTTCAAATGAGTCGTTTTTAGGACATGTTTCAGCCTTACATAGCGCCTTGCGGGTAGCAAAGATAACTTATCCAGGATCGGGGTTGCTACTTGAGGAATTTTCGAAATTTTTGAGATAGCTACTTGAATTCAAAAACAGATATATTCACCTTTGAAAACAGATGTTCCTTTCCTCCATAACGCGTTAAGATATCACTTAGAGAATAGCTTTTGGACTGCCCTTTCAATTCCACTTCCGCTAGGTTTTGGGTACAAAAACCAGAACTCTTCGGAAATGTTCGCCCTTGGTCTTTGTTTCTCTACCTTTCTGATTTTTGCTTAAACATTTGCAATGGTCACTAGCCATTTACATCTCGACGGCAGTGGCGGCTTAATGGAACATCCATTCACCCTCCTCAGCCCAACTTAGAATTTTTCAATTCTTAGTATAAATTTAATAAAATATTGAACCAGAGTAAACAAAGAACTCACATTAATTCGGAAAAAAATGTCGAAAAACTACACTCAAAGTAATTGTCAATATCAAGCCATTATTGGGAATAACATTTGATTTTTAATAAAAAAATTTAATTACAGACTGAAACAAAAGGTGACACTAATTTGCATCAGATTCTGCACGCAATCTTAAACGGTGGTGGAGGCTTTGTTTAACTGATACACGGACAAGACAGGCCAAGGATATAAACTCAAATGTTAAAATTAATTATTTGGTATTTCTTCGTTCTGTTTTCTGGTATCAAAGCAGATCAAAGCGATTTTAAACTAGATGGAAGAGCTGGCCTAAAGCGAGGAGTTGATTTTCGGGAAAAAAGGGTATCTTACGGCAATTTTGCAGTTAAAAGATTCCATCGTCTTCAAGTATCAGTAGGTATATCGAGTGTTGTGAGCAATTACAGAGAGTGTGCTCTGAGCTGTGTTAATGCTCCACCATGCTCCTCGTTTGACGTCGCTTCTTCTCCGCGTTCGAACGGAAAATTTCTATGTGAGTTGTTAAACGAAGATAAATACTCTGCAAGGCCTGGCCAGCTAATCAGATCACAGGAATACCATCATTATAGCATCAAGGTAATTAGAACGCTTTTTTTGGGAAACAGTGTTTGACGCTGTACTAAATGAAAGCTAGCTGTTAAAAAAAGAACTTAATGTTGCAAATATGAGTGATGATAAACTATACTCTGGAAGAGATTTTTGCCCCAAAACGTTACGATGATTAATTTTCTAACACCCAAACATAATAAAAGAAGTGTTTTACCCTATTAATGTTTTAGCTTTCAAACATAATGAACAGAAGTGTTTTAATTACCCTTGTTCTGTAAATAAATGGATTTCAAACGGCGTCAGGAGTATATCCGTTATGGTAGAGAATTTAGCTTGCATGTCAAATATCACGTATGAGAAGCGAATTTCATTCCTCATTCTCATTTCTTTTTTGGGTCAGAACAAATTTGTTAGTGAAAAGTAGAGTAAAGTAAGATAGTCCAATATTTTACAAGAAATACCAGCAATGGGGCCTGGTTGTTAAGTTTCATCGTGCCACCATTGGAAAACGTTTGGTTTCAGTTTTGTTTTTCTTAGCCGTAATTAGGATACATCGTAGTATAGTTGAGTATGAAAAGACATTAGGTATATTAGCTAATTGAAACATTTTGTAAGACTAACAAGTCCTGGTTACCTCGGCAATGTTTTCTCAATCGTGTTATTATTTCTCACATAATCAAATTGGTCGGTGCAAGAAAAATTACTACAATTTTCGAACCGCAGATGAGAGAAGGGTCCTGATTCTTTGCATATGTGATTTCGACAAATTGAATTGGGTTCATTTAATACCGTGTAGTTCGACTCGGCGAAACAAAGCAACAACCTGCAAACTTTCAACAATAAGAATGTGAAAGGATGGCAAGCCATTAATAATTAAAAAACCTTTTCTAAGCCTGAGGGTCGCAGCACTCTGGGTGGCAAGTCCATCCAACTCAGAATCTTCAACAAGTTCTACATGGACCCATTAACTTAAAACCAACCTTAAATTTTTTGTTAAATTATATATTGTTAAAAAAATGAGTGAATTAATCCTCTGGTCAGTTAATAAATGAGGCAATTCACATTTTATTTACAGACGCCATGTTCAAGCTTTCCGTGTCAAAACGAAGCTGTTTGTGTTCCAAAATACGATGAAAATCTATATCATTGTGATTGTAAACCGGGTTATGAAGGGAAAAGCTGCGAAACAGGTAAGTTCCCCCGCAAATTCTCCCTTCAAATATAAAGTCAAGCAGCTAACAAGAGCACGAATTCTTATTGATGCACGAGATCAGCAAACAATTGTATTGTTTTACAAAAGGCCCTGTCAAGGTTTTCAAACGGAACCGTAATAATAACCTTTTTTGTAGAAATCAACGAATGTTCCAGTAATCCTTGTTTGAATGAAGGGACGTGTGTTGATCAGGTGAATGGATATCTTTGTAACTGTCGGCCTGGATACGAAGGTGCTAATTGCCAAACTGGTAAGTTTTCCATTTTTTCCATTTTTACCCAGCCGTCTTACATTATAACCATGGCAGAAAACCTGTAAATTACTGAGGCATCGTAGAAGATTCTTGTTTGTTCTGAAACTAATCTCAAAAAACTAACATAAACACAGACATCAACGAATGTTCCAGCAATCCCTGCTTAAACGGAGGAACGTGTGTTGATCAGGTGAATGGTTATCTTTGCAACTGTCAACCAGGCTATGGAGGAGTTAAGTGCCAAACGAGTAAGTCTTTTTATTATCACTTATTTTGCTCGTTTATTAACGGAAAACTCCTTTCTTCCCAGATATAATAAAAATGTCTTACTTTTGTTATTTTATCACACGCTGTTTTTTTGTGGAATTTAAGGGATTTCCCAGCCAATATCGAACCACAAGTTTTCAGAATTTCATAAAATCATTGAGGAATCCTCTAAGATTCTTGTTTTATTTTCTGAAACTAATTTCGAAAAACTAAGTCAAAATAAACACAGAAATTAACGAATGCTCCAGCTAGGTGTATGGATATGTTTGTTACTGTCAGCTCGGGTATCGAGGAACTAAGTGCCAAACGAGTAACTTTTTTTTATTTTTTAACTCATTATTAACAAAAAAAATTCCTTAAATCCCAGACTGAATAACAATTTCTTACTTTTGTTCTCTTTTCATACGCTGTTGTTCTATGGAATTAACGGACTTCCCAACAGCGAACCACAAATTTTCAGGATTTCATAAAATCATGGAAGCATCATCCAAGATTCTTGTTTTTTTTTCCATCATTAATTTAAACAAACTTATGTATACACAGACATCAACGAATGTTCCAGAAATCCCTGTTTAAAGGGAGGGACGTGTGTTGATCAGGTGAATGGATATCTTTGCAACTGTCAACCTGGTTATGGAGGAGCTAAGTGTCAAACGAGTAAGTGTTTTGTTTTTGTTTTTAACCGCATTCAACGGAAAAAATTCTTTAATTGCCAGACTTGATAAAATGTTTTTACTTCTGTTCTTTTGTCATACGATGTTGTTTTATGGAACTTAAAGAAGACGACCATAGATTTCCCAGCCAATGTCGGACCATCAATTTTTAAGAATTTGATTTGATCCCCAATAACTACATAAACCACTACATGGACGAAATATTTTTAAGAGAAAACGATGGTGGAAGATTTGGCTTGTAGGCGTGCTAGATTGTAATAAACTGATGTGATTCTAATTCTTCCTCGGTCCAATTGGAAGATTGTGCGTGTGCGGTATGTTTTGATTCAGGCAAAAAGAAGTAAGAAGACGGCTTTAAAAACAATATCAATTCAATGGGCTAGCTGTCTGCCTGTCTGCACGCAAATGGTCTTAATGTGAACCGAAAAGCCGCCTCGAACCTCAAAGAAAAATATGAAGAACGTCACAAAGTCACTTACTGCAAAGTGAAATAAAATTTTCAAAAAGGAGAAGAAAAAAAAAAACTCGCAAGTAAATAGGTTATGCTCTTGCCTTGATTTGTAACACCCCACGGATGGAAGAGGCTAGGGACGGGTGATGTTAAAGTCTTAATTCTTTTGCAGATATCAACGAATGTTCCAGCAATCCCTGTTTGAATGGAGGTACATGTGTTGATCAGGTGAATGGATATCTTTGTAACTGTCAGCCTGGCTATGGAGGAACTAAGTGCCAAACGAGTAAGTTTTTTTTTGTTATTTTACTCATGAATTAACTTAAAAATTTCTTTAATTCCCCGACTTAATAAAAACTTCTTTCTTCTGTTCCTCTGTCGCAGGCTGTTTTTTTTTTTATGGACTTTAAAGGATTTCCCAGCCAATATTGAACTACAAGTTTTAAAATTTCATAAAATCATTGAGGCATCATCAAAGACTCTTTTTTTCTTTTTTTTTTTTCTTCAAAAAACTAACATAAACACAGACATCAATGAATGCTCCAGCAATCCCTGTTTAAACGGAGGGACATGTGTTGATCAGGTGGATGGATATGTCTGTAGCTGTAGGCCTGGGTATGCAGGAACGAACTGTCAAACAAGTCAATCTGGTGAGTATTCCGTGACTTGCTTCTAAACTCTCCTGACAGTATTACGTTTTAATCAAATGTCAAGGTCATGAGAATAGAAGAAATGATCACCAATTCAAGAAGTTCTTGAATATCGAATAGATTTTCCTCTCACTCCGTAGGAAATATAATTATAACATAACCAAAGTAAAGCGCGCGCTCTAATTTGTCAATTCAGCATCCACTAATTTCCCCTGGGTGTACGCTGCTGACGTGAGCAAAGACTAGTTTTCCGCGCGCGCTTGTTTTTCTGGTCATGTAAGATTTGTCAAATAAAAGAAAACTCTTTTGCTACAATTTATCGATGTTATGTTATAAAACAAATGGTAAACGCCACAGTGTACACTAATTAGTTATGGATGCACTTGGGAGGTTTGCTAAGCACTCAAGAAGCAACAGCCGCTCTCGGCTATCGCCTCGCGCGACTCTAATACTTCTTTCGTGCTTAGCAACCTCCCGCGTGCATCCATAACTCAATAGTGTACGCTGTGGTGTCTACCATTTGTTAAAGAGAACAGTGTGGAGGTTATGCACCACTGTTAGCATGTAAAGGGTTAAAAGATAGTTACAGACGTAGAGCGGCTAAGAAAATCAAGCGAATTGATTGTGGTGTCTACTTGCTATGCACGAGGGACTAAAACAAATTTCATTCATAATCATATTCTAAAGGACTCAAGGTTACAAATGTTATAATCCACAACGCGAAAAAATACAGAAAGTATTCTCGTTAACGATTTGTTTGTTCTTTAATAGTTCTAGATTATTGTTAACTTTTAGTGATAAGCGATCGAACTTTGCAGTTCGCGAACATGAGCATAATCCTATAACTTTGATAAACTATGCAGATACGGATTTTTGTTCGCCAATCTTTTCTTTTTCAAATCAAAAAAATTCAGGACGAAAATCCGTATATTATGATCACTCATATAATTGTATTTAGGAATTCTTTTTGCCAAAGAACCGTTGACAAAAAAATTACTTACTATCCATCATTACTTTACCTGATAGATTCTGACGATGGATAGAAAACTGAAAAAACATACATTTTGAAAGAGGGGAGGTCAAATCAGCGAGGTGGGTCCATATCCGCAGGGGGGGGGGAATCTGCAGGGGTGGGGTTCAAGTCTGCAGTGAGACCGGCGACATTGACTAGGCCTTCGCTGCTTAACTTGTTTTCTTAACTTTTTTTTGGTTAAATAGGAGGTTCATGGACTGAGTATACACCTTACATTTGTGGCAATAGCAATCGGAACAAGATCACAGAGGGAGTAACAGAACAGGAATGCAAACAACAATGTTCTTCTTGTGCTGCCATTGAATATTGGTCTGGAGGAAACTTAGCTTGTTTCGAATGTTTTGATAAAACACAGCGGTATCATTACACCAACACTCATGATGGTTCATATCCACCTCATGTGTTCGTTAAAAATTGAATAATGATGAACGAAAAATTGAATAATGATAAAAGGCCTTGCGCAACTACATTCTAGTAGCAAGACATTTTTGCGAAAATATCATCACGTTTTGGTAGTACTTGCTCTGGAAATCGACACTCGATCATTGACTCTCGTAACTTCGATGACCACGGATCGCGATCGAGTGCAGTTTTCAGACTTTCCAGTTTCGATCAGTCGAGCCGAAATTTAGGTGTCTTTCTAAGCGACTAGACTTTGATGCAACCAGACACGTATGTCAACTTTTAGTTGTGTAGTGGGGTAGATTTGAAGGGGTGTCCTGAAAACACTGACCCCCAGTCCATGGACCCCTCTACGGACCTGGTCCACGGACCCCTGTACGGTCCGGTCCACGGACCCCCCTTCACGGACCCCCCATGAAAAGACAATAATAACAATGACAACTTATTGAGCTGTTGCGCTGTTTTTTTGTTCGCGGTAGCGAAATTTTGACTGTTACTATTCCAAATATTACCGTGGCAATGAAACGAGGAAAAGAGCCGAATAAAAAGTAAAAAAAAAAAAAGAAAGATAAAGACCGATAACTTAGCTAACTTGTGTATATTCATCGACTCGACCCCGGCTTCACAAAATAATGCTCCTTCGACAAAGAAAGGTGTCCATGTTCATTGGACTAATTAGAGATCGCCATATTTGACAGTTATGTGTTTGAGTGCCAAATCTTTCAGCAGGGCGACTTTTATTCAATGATTGATAGACAAAGAAAAATACCGCGCAGCTTTCGGAAAGCCAGGTCACATTGAGACTCACTCCTATTCAAAGGCTTGGCAACTAGGTAGCGAACTCCTTTTATTGCCACGGTAATATTTGGAATATTTACCGTCAAAATTTCGCCACCGCGAACAAAAAACAACGGTAAGTCAAATCTCTATAAGTTGCCATTGTTATTTCTGTCTTTTCATGGTGGGTCCGTAAAGGGGGTCCGTAGAGGGTCGGTTGACCGGTCCGAACAGGGGTCCGTGGACCAGGTCCGTAGGGGGGTCCATGGACTGCGGGTCGTGTTTTCGGGACACCCGATTTGAAGGTTGTGTTTAACATCATTTCAGGCCTAAAAGTGTCAATAACTATGTAGTCATTTGGTTGTGTACAGACTGCGTATATTGTCTCGCACAATCAAGATTGCATTCGAATTCCTTTGACATTGATTTTATCAATTCAGAAATGTTTAAATTATGCAAAAAAACGTGGGGGTTTAGGCTGTAATCGGGGTGATTAAGTTGTGTTCTTGGGAAGACGTTTTACCCTCAAAGTGCCTTTCTCCATTCACGAGTGTAAATAATGCACATGTACCCGTGAAATGCCTGATAATTCCTATGGCATGCTAAGTAAAAGGGACAGGAGTGTTGCTCTCCACAAAGATCCATTCAGGATGGGTAGCGATGTTCCTGGTCACTCAATGCTATGGAAACTGAAATATGTTCTTTTGCTTAGTAAACCATATTTAATCTTTCTACACTGTATTATGGTTCTTTGTCAATCAAGTAATATTCAAGGAACAAAATTCTATGAAAGCAGTGCACATAATGTACATGCTGTAGTGGCATGATAAACTACCAGTACCATGCATGCAGACCCAATGAGCAACGTTAACACATTTTCCTACCTCTGGATGTTGAAACTGTTGATCATATTGTAGATAATTTGCACATTTGCACAGGAACCTAGAGGTATCCTCTGACACAGTTATTTTTAAGTAATGTAGGCAAAAGCAAACAAATGGGAATAAGAAAAGTTGATAAATATATATGTTAAAACTGAAACAAAAACAAAGTTGAAAAAAACATACATTTGTTTTTTAGCAAGGATCTAGGAACAATGGTTCAAATCAGAATTAATGCCTAAGTACTGAAAGAATGTACCATAGGAAATGTTCAGATTGGTTGTCCTTGTTGATGGTTTGGCTTACCCTGAGATGAAAGGTTCATGTAAGGTTTTTTTTTAATGTTATTAAGTCTGTAATTTTACTGCTGGTATCCTTTATCAAAAGACAAGCAGATCTGCAAGTTGACAATGTGCATAAATGCACAACTTCTGATCAGTACAGAGATCAAATTAACACTTACTTCTCCTGAGCAAAAAGTGCTGTAAACATAATTTGTTCAGTTGTATCTATGACATATCATTATATCATTCAACTTGTGGTTTTTGGACACCAAGATAAAATCACCCATTGAGTCAGTCATAACACTATTGTGAGGCAAGATTAAAACCTACCATCAGCAACAAAATTGTTGACACACAGACCTTTTCAACACACTCTTCAATTTTATCTCTTTTACCCTTGTCAACATATTCACCCCCTTCTTCCCCCAAAACAAAGTTGTATCGTAATTCCATGAACCTTTACCTACATGCAGGCAACTTTGAATGGGGGAGGGGGGTATTGTAAACGATTTAGCGTGTGGTAGAAACTGGAATGTTCTTCTACACATACATAGAACTCTTCAAACATGGTGTGTCAGCTAATTTTGATGCTGATTGACTAGTTGCTCTTAGTGGTCAAAGGCTAAAATCAAGGTATATAACATAAATATTTTTTGTGTCCAACATCATTTGAATTTCATAAGTAATTCATTGCTACTATTATCCAGCCATAAAGTCAATAAAAACACCCGATTTGGTAATAATAACAATAATATTTAACATTTATATAGTACAAATTAACATACTGGAAGATATGATCAAATGTGCTAAAAAACAATTAAGTATCATGTCCATTTATATAAGTGACACTTTCAAGTAATTCATTTCACTGTAGCTGATTTTTGTACATCAAATCAAATTGGTAAGATTTCTGCACAGACCTAACCCATATTGTAAAACAAAGCTGTATTTGCAAAGGCAAGTTACTGTTTTTGCCATTGTTTTCTATTTCTATGAAGTATGGGGCTGTACATAAATCTTAATGCTAAATTTCTTGCCATAGAGTATAATAATCACAATGAATATATGAAATACATACATCTGAACTGCCGGTATGAAACATATATGCACACGATCCTCACAGTAAAGCACTATTTAAGCAATAGTGAAAATCAGACCTGAAAAAATTCAGGCCTGTACGGGATTCGAACCACTGACCTCTGCAATACTAGTGCAGCGCTCTGCCAATTGAGCTAACAAGCCAACTGGGAGCAGGCCATCAAATTAATTTGACATAAACCAGTAAAGTATAACAATACACACCAGCCTTCCGCTTCAATCCTTTCCAACCACCAAATATCTGTCATCACCTTTCCCGTATGACCTGTGTTTTAGCCCATATTGTTGTGAAATTTTATGTATAACAGCTCGGTCTTCTTTTGAGAGTTCACAAGAAAATTTAATTTCTCTATCTGCTCCACTGATAAATGACATGAGTACATCTCTAACCGTCTGTTTTTTTACTTGGGATCCCTGTGTTGGATTGCAACCCAGACCAAACTTACCATCGGTACCAAGAGCAATGACTGGTTCTGCTCGACCTTGGCCCTCCTTACCAATCCCCCCACTCCCTGTCCATCCCATTTTCCGAAGCATTTTATTACCAATGTTATCTTCGGAAATGCTCGCTGCCTTTTCAAAAGCTTTTGAGACTAGTTCGGTTTTCGACACACACGGAGCAGATTCATGTTGTTGAGATCGTGACCCTAAACGAATAACAGGTTGGCGAGGTCGGAGTATCGACAAAGCGTTCTCGGCGGCTGTGCGTTTCGCCTGTTTTTTCCCTACCCCTTCCCCAACGGCAACTAGTTGGTTCGCTATCGTCACAGAACACGAAAATAAACCTGTTTTGCTGTTAACACCAAGTTCGTCAAATGATATAGTTTTCTTTGATTTTTGGGCGCTATCGTTCAAGACACTTACGGGATTGCTTTCAACGGCTTCTTCTCCTTCCTCACGTTCGTAGATTGTGAAGTTTTCCATCAATGGTTTTGCCTTTCTCAATGCGTTGTCTGGAACAGAAAGGCCTCCCTTCGATTCGAGTTCGCCCACTATTTCTTCAGTTTTTGCCGGATACCTGCAGCCAAGGAACTTTATGTTCGCCCAAACCATAGATAAAGCTTCTAGCTTATCCTCTGGAGAATGATCCCTCCATGTTTCAATAAAGTGTGATCTTAAATGCCATTGTAAGTCACTTTCCCAAAGACACCTTTCTGCCGCCATTTTGAAATCCTCCAGACACGGTTACCTGGCTCTTTTGGAGACATCTGCTGACCAACTTTATTGGATTATCCAAGATGGCCGCTGCACATTGACTGGAAGCAATGAGAGGCGTTTGGTTTTTCAGGCTTAGTTCTCAAAACTTTTTCGTAGTAAGTAGTTTTAAACTCAATTCACCGTGCAATAGGAGCTTGAAATACCTCTCTTCCTTTCCTAATTTTAAATATTCGCCGGATCTTGGTTTTTATCGAGCGAAATTTTACATACCCACAAGACGACGGTACTATTGTAGCAAGCAGACTACTGGACAGTCCAAAAAACAAGAAGGGGCACAGGCCAATGATTTATCTGATTCCACCACTCATCATCATCATCATAATACCACCATATTTCAACGACTACAGGATCTTGAGGAGTCATTTCGTGTTCGGGGACATTCCATCTTGAGATGGGGCTTGAGTGCACTTGTCATTTCGGGATTTGTGATTTACATTTTCCGAGAACCACTCAGAGAAAACGTCGCAGATGAAGTAGCAGTTGTTGCTAGTAGATCTCTTGGTAAGTCAAGTATAAACAAAACTGAGTTTCCAAGCCTGACAGGAAATATCCAAAATTACCCTCTCCTCCCCTCCCTTACTTTAATCAATTGTTAATTGTGAAGGTGTAGTCTGATCGTCCGGGTGAGTGTAGTCCTGAGAAGGACCGTTGTCGGTGGTAGTGACTGACGTTTCGACAACCTGTG